GTGTGGTTAAGAACGTCGACATTGTGGTGTGGTTAAGAACGTCGACATTGTAGTGTGGTTAAGAATGTCGTGAGTCAGCAGTGCTTTGTTTACGATCACAGAGAAAGCTTGTGCTCTTGTTTGCAGAATTTTGTGTGTTTGTTTTGTAGTTGCTGTTCATTATAGGATCTTAAGGAAGAGAAAAAGATTATTTAGTGTAATAGTTCAGGTGGGTAGCTGCTCACACCTGAAGAAGGCTTCACGGCCGAAACATTGTGTTTTCTTTCTTCTTTTTTTCAGCATGGAATAAACCTATTACTTGTTCCTATTTAGTGTTATAGTCAACAACAGTATGGACATCGTTCTAGCCAATCACTTGGATAGAGATCTATTACAAAAGAATGAAAAACATAAATATGATATCATTAATTATTTTACAGCTATAGTGGGTTTATTTGAATAGAATTGCGTTGTTCACTAAGCTTGCTATAATGGTCTGTACGGCATTATATGTTTAGGGTGGTTTTTGAGCGAACTTGTCTTCGTTCAGAACTGGGTAGAATTTTCCCCATAGAAATAATGGAAATTTTATTTTCAATTTACGATCTCCAGCCTTCCGAACATATTTTCAGGAACGAATTAGGTTCAGGTACAAGGGTATGAGTGTATGTTTAATGGTTTTGTTGTAGCGAAAAATTGCAAACCAGGGATTCATAAACAGGGGGTGAATATCAGAGCTTCCCATTGGATATAAATCCACAACTTAAACAGAAACAAATGAAAAACAAATTTACAGTCTTGTTCCAACTGTGTAGTATTTGTTTGATAAATTATGTCTGTACTTACCTATTGTTTCAATCATTTTTTTATTCCAAAAGAAATGTCAAGCCAGTTCTTAATCAATAATGTTGATTTTGTTCTTCAAACCTGTAAAATGGACAGCAGAATGATTTTCCACCTTAAAACAATATTCCTACAAAATATGTTATTAGTAAAGTAGCAAATAATGGGTTTGAAATATACCCTCAAATAAAATGTAAACGTATTTGCTCTACTATGAACATCTTGCTAAATAAGGAACATGAAAACAATTTTGTAGTGGTGTAGTTTTCAAATTTTCAATTTAGAAATGTTTGATCATTTGTATTGTGTGCTTATTCATGAAGCCACAATTAAATAAACTTTTTGTATGGGAGGACAGTTATGCTGTTGCTTATGCTGCTGTTATGTCTGGAATTTTCAAGCACACTACAACTCAAACATACATAATAATTGGTACGTTCTTAACATTTCATAGTTTCTCCTATCAGAAATAAACATTGCGATTAAGATAAAAACGGTCATTTCTGGGTCACAGACAGCACTAGATATCTGCACCAGTCTGATCATCTCTTGGATCCACAGGTGGATTTCATTCAAAGGTAAAGCTGCTTAAAAACAATGTACTGTACTGTAGTGGTACACTGGGGGAGCAACAAACTAGATAAACAAGTATAATGTGCCAAAGCTTTAACACTAAGAATTAAAAGCACAAATCTAGATGTGTATAGTGCTACAAAGCATGCTACTTCTGTCTGCACATGTATAAAATGTGAACAATATCTCCATGAACAGACATGTAATATTGATTTTACTTTCATAGAATGTAAAAATCGTAGTGATTCTGGTACAAAGCATAGCATAGTTTAAAACTAAGCATCACAAATACTAAAATTACTAAAGCATGTGTGAAAATACTGTTAATTGCACTATATATAACACTACTAAACAAAGATGCTGTCACTTAATACTCTTACAGCAGGATTAGCATCTGTAAATTGCCTTAAATTGAACTACATAAAGTGACCTTGGCATATGGCTTTAGGATACGTCTCTAGTGTGCTTTTTCAAGTGCTGTAAAGTCAATTAAAATTTAAATATTTTTTTTAAAATAAAGTAATTTTAAAATACTTATCTACAAGGAATTAACCTCTTTGTAAACTCAAATACATTTCAGCACTTTACACACTTATTTAAAAACTTTAATCTTCAAGTATTTAGTGAGTAGTCCACAAAGTCATGATCAAACCAATAATATAATTTAAAAAAAGACTTCTTAAGGTCTGTTCTTTTTAGTCATATATACAATATAAGTGAATATCAGTAGCACTTTGCTAAATTCATACATTTGATGATAGTTTATTGTTAGAGAGAAAAATATAAGTGAAAAATATACTAAAATGAAAAATACCTAAATAATGTAATAAATGTAGAACAAGAATACCCAAATAATAAGGCCTTTTTGATATCCTAAATAACAAATTACAAATTCTGTTTAAACATTTGTATCAGACTTATTAAGCATTAAACCATGAATTCACTGCCCCTGTTATTATTTTCTTGATAGTACTTCTGTTACTTCTGTATCTCCTGAAACTACAAGCAAATAGTCAGACGTGACTTCAAATGTGGGGATTTTTCTACTTTCTTTTTACTTTCCACCATGGAAAAATAATTAAATATAAAATAGATACCTTCAAATCAATATGGAACTTATTTGTTTACTATTATTCTGAATATAACTAGTCATACAAACATAATTCAACATTGTAAAAAGTTCATTTTATCCAAAATAGAAATGCATGCCTCTCAAATTAAAAGACAAATAATCTGATCTATTTAGCATACTCAGAAAAGCGTATATACTGTGGTTTTTTTTTTTTGTCATTTAAAAATCGACTAGCTGTAGGTCTACTTCCACAGACTGCAATAAAAAAACGTTCGTTCTTCTCACAGAAGCTCTAAGGAAACAGTTGTCATTTTTAGGAGTCATTCTTAGACATGCTGTACAACATGTTACACAAACACATATTATTTACAGAATTCGAAGTAAAAAACAAATAATCTCACTACATCCAGATTCTTGCCCAACATACAATTGTATACAGCTAGTTTCATTTTCAAACATTTCATATTTAAAATGTTTCAGAATTAACGTTTTAACGTGTTTTTCAAGAAGTAAATCGTTCAATTTTCTGGACTGAGTGGGCGATTCAAGGTTTAAACTTGAGAAAGTTTTTGTTGTGTTTCTTGTTATTTGTTCGCAACCCGAGGAAGTCGTTTATTTTGTGGAAACAGAGTTGGATGAATGAAGTTCAGACCAGTTACAAATGTGCTTTGATCGTCTTTTACGATATAAAATGTAGTTCTGGACCATGTCTGTTATAAACTGCCTTAAAACGCCCTGGGACTTGGATAATTACATGAGTTACCAAAACTCAGCGTCAGGACCACATAGGTTTTCTAAATAATTACAGCTTGTGACTGATGTAACCATCAGACTAAAGCTACTGCGTACAGTTAGCCTCTGAAAACTTGCCGTGATTTCAGACAGTAAATCGACAGCGGTTCGGTCTGCATCAGCATTCATGGAGCAAGAAGATAAGGACTGTGATGCAATTAAGATTGTGCCCCTGTACACAGAGTAAAGCGACACAAACTTATCATTACAATGTCTTTGTTTGTTTGTTATTCTCCTTCATGTGCCCCCAACCGACCCTTCCAGCAGGATACTGTATCATTGTGTGCCTCTGGAGCGGAATGCAATTTGCTTTTCTCAGCACCCGCCTCCCCTTCCCCCTCCCACTCCTGGCTGAAGCAACAGGGCTTTCCAACGCAGTTCATTCACATAGGATGAAATCCGCATTTTTAAGAGCAAATGGCTCCTCCACGAACGAAACGTCCGGATAATACCCGCAGTTTTACAGTAAACTTCAATGCATGTTTTAAAACAAAAAAAATAATCCGAGCGGTCCCAGAACAATGCCCCAGAATAAACATCGTCAGTGCCCGTCTAATTCCACATTGGTGCCAACAAATCCAGTTTTTTTTACAACGGAAAAACAGTACAGCGTCGAAAATCGACTTTCACTTTTGTAGTTTATTCATGTACAAACTATTAAATTAAAGTGCTGGTTTAAAAATGAAGAAAAAGAACACTTACACGAACGCGGACTGGTCTGCGGTGCCTCGGTAATGCTAGACGCTTCCTATCCTAGCGTGTTGTCCTGAGTCTTCCTCCTGTAGCTAACGGCGCATAGAGCGGCTTAGGGATGGGGTGTAGTGTAACTCGATCCTCCACAGACATTTTCAGCAATAGCGGCACCGAGAGTTGAAACAAGCTACAGCTCTAACAGGCCACTGTATCCCCGACTAGAATTAAGAAGGTCAGAGGCGTTGCTTGCGTGAAACCATGACAACAGAGTTGGGAGATCATTCAAGAGGTTGCTCAGAAAAGCCCAATCAACCTCTTTTAGCCTATACAAACGTGCGCAATACCCAGGATCACACAAATACTACAGGTCGAAAGTGTGAAAGCAGAATTGCGGCGCAGAAAAACATAGTTTGAGGGCAATGTTATTCGTTATTTTTTTTTCCACCTAACCCCATGGTTTCTATGCATCAATGTGCGGATAACTATCTCGTACAAAAATATACTACATTGATATGGAAGTTGATTCATATTTTTAATAAAGCGGGACTACGTATGATGAAAAGAATAAGTTTAGCAACAATATACATCAATTGTTATTTTGACACCTTTATAAGGGCATAATTAACCTTCAAATTCTGCAACTAAAATAGAGAGCATCTAAGGTAATGTTACTAACACTGCAGATTTACATTCTACACAATACATTATTTTAAGAGATTATAAATGAGAACCAGGTGCAAGAATTAATGAAATATACCACTGAAACGATCTGTTCTGTTTCACCCTTATAAAATGACAGAACTAACAAATGAAGCATTTTCTTGGCAGTACTATTGAAGCTGACAAATTAAATGATCTAATGAACCAGAACTTCACTGGATTTTTCCTTTTAGTTAATTTTTTAATTAAGTCTACCACCCTGATTAAAGGTGGATATGAAAGCTGCAATAGTAACAGTAGTTTTTTTTTCCACAAATATGGCTTTGTATTACTGTACAGTACATGCTTTTGGTATTGAGTAAAGGAATATTAATTGTGTTGATTTGTTTTCAATAGTTACATCAAGACAAATTAAATTAGTTTTTGTTATCACCTGAAGCGTGCAAGTTTTGCATTGTGCTCACCATTTCTACGTATCATAAATACCCAGATTCCTTTATATAAACTATGTATTAAGATGCAATGTTATGCAAGGAAATTCTGTTACTGGCTTCCTCATACTTAAAAAGTACCACATGTTATGTCAATATTTGACAAGTGTTTCTCAATCTTTTTATTGTAATTCTTGTAGGTGCAGTTGCTTTTCCAATGGTGGTTAAGAAACATCCATAACAACACAAAAGACCCTTAGACCCATAGGATATTAAATGTGGTGTTAATTTCTCTATCCAGTGCCACATAATGACTGTGATGCATTACACAGATGAAATTGATGCTCTCTTATACGCAAATCTTTTTGATATCCTTTTGGATGAAAATTTATATAAATGTGAGGAATTATCATTATTGTTGTTATCATCAATCAACCTATCCATCTATTTTCTAACCACTTTATTCCACACAGGGTTGCAGGGGAGCCAGAGCCTATCCCAGCAAGCAACAGGTGCAAGGCAAGATACACACTGGATGAAACCCACATCTACCACAGCGCACAAAAATAATATTAACACTTTTCCCTTTCCCCCCAAAAAAGGAAGGTCTTGTATTACAGTAGATGCATACCCCTTATTTTTCTAAGTGTTTCCTGGCAATATTTGACTAGTTGCTTTATGAATTGGGATAGTTCATGTGGCGGTACTGACGCAGTTATCAATGTATAGCCTGTAGAGGTCAAGGACAAAGCCAGTGTAGGAAGAGAAGAAACATTCTTCTACGCAGCCGACAAAAACATTAGCATAGCTAGGTCACATTCTGGGCCCTGAAACTGGAAATCATTAAAAAGTTGGAGCGCATGGTTGGTGTCCTTGATATATGAAGGAAACCCTTCAACCAGTGGTCTCATAAGGCTGTTGAGAAAGGCTGTGATGTGAGTAGTTGGACAGTTGCATGCTGAGATGATGGGACGTCCAGGGGTGTCGGGTTTGTGGATTTTAGGGGAGGAGGTAAAATTTGGATACCTGGGGATTTTCAACAATGAGATGGTTTACCTCCTGGGGGAGTTCCTTGCTATTCCTGAACCATTTCCATTTCTCTTGTCATCAAATTTGAGCAATGGATACTGACATACAGTAAGGTAGGTAGGGTAGGTCCCTTTTCAGGCCATAAAGAGCAATGGGGAATGGGGGACAAGGGCCACCATTTTTCTACAATCATCTGACACTGAAGTTGGAGGTGATGTGGTCAGCGTCACGTTCTGGTCAGCCTATTACCCCCGGAAGGATTTACCCCCAGTACTCATTTGGAAAGCAGGCTGAGCGGACCTGGGAGCTGTCTGGAAGGAAATAAAGCAAGCTACATCGCTTGCCCCTACCTGGGATTGAACCCTGAACCTTCCAGTCAGGAGCGAGATGCCCTTGTGCCTGAGATACCACAGCTCCAATGACTTAAGGTACTGAAGTTTTAAAAAAGGTCTTCTGTAAAACTTTAGACCTACAGTATATAAACAAAATCATATAAAAAAAACATTGAGCTAATAACATGTGATTTCTTGAGAACACCAGGAACTCAACTTTGAGCACTTGAACTGATAAATGAAGGTAAGAATCTGTATAACCACATTCAATTCTGGACCTGGGGTGCTGTCTGTGTGTAGTTTGTATGTCCTCCCCATGTATGTGTGGGTTTTCTCTAGGTTTCCTCTTCCTCTTCCAAAAAAACATCCTGGTGTGTTAATTGCCTTCTGGGAAAATTGACCTTGAATGTGTGTATCTGCCCTGCCATGGACTGGTGTCCCATCCAGGGTGTACTCTGGTTTGTGCCCATTGTTTGCTGGGAATGCAAGCTGCAGAATAATGATCCTAAGCATTTTGCAATGTCTACAAAAGAATTTGTATAACAAATGAAGGTTACAGGATTGACCTTTTCATTGTGAAAACAGCTGCTGTTGCACAGATGAAACACAAGTTGATCATGGAACTCAAATATATAACTGAGAAGATGCCAGGAAATGGTTCCAAAATACATAAAAGAAATTAAAACATGAAGGAAACACAGAATGGGCACTCATAATACTAAAGGCCTGGTGCCCAAACACTTTTGTCAAAGTATGACATTAATTATGGCATATCATTTTTTTTATAAATTTTATTTAAATATATGTATATATATTTATTTTAATGCTGAATATCTTCTTTATTTTTTAATTTCTCAAGGCATCTTAATCTCTTTTGAAGTTCTGCATCACAGTCTCTTCTGGCAAAATTATAGAAAAAAAACATTCTTCTGGAATTCAGAAGTTACTGTTACTGACCTGTTAACTGCTTGCATACTTCACGAAACTACAATCACTTATCAATATTACATAGTAGTAGTCATGGCACCAGGCCAGGATATGTGGGACACAGATACACTAGGACTATGCAGGTCCTATGAGTACTAGTGTGAACAACAGGGTGTAAGGAGTGCTTCTTCATGGAAATAAAGGATTTGTCTCACCTGGTGTTTTGCTATCTGGTTCCCTCTTGAAAGCATTCATGTCATTTTTCTCCACCCAGGTGGTCTATAAAAAGGAATGATTGAAAGTTCAGGTTTATTGGAGTACTAGAAGTGGAGCATTAGGGTTATTTTCTCTCAGGCTTATTCACTGTGTCTGGAGGTAGGGAGTTTATCCTTCCTTGCCTAATAACCTCCCATGAACCCACATGACAGTAACATCATTACAGTATTATGCTGAATTGCTGCCTGACTGCATAAAGCCAACCACAAAATACAGTGGGGAATGCTGATGTCAGGAAAATATATTTTTTTTTTAATGGTAATACCAATGTTATCTAAAAAGTTGTTATTTAGTATTAATCTTGACATTTTGAATAGGTTTATACACATATTTCTTTATTACGAAACTGTGATGTTCTGACTTACACATTTGTTGATAGACGAATGTATCAATGATCAGGTACACGGTATTTACTACTAATTGGTATTTTTTCAATTTGAAAGGAAATTAACTTTATATTAATGTAAAGGGTGGTTTTAATTAACAAACTGGTATGAAACAACACTGCGTTATCTGGATAGAAAAAATGTGAAATAATAGTGGTTCTGGTGCCTCATCATTTTTGTTTGTGTTCCTCTCTTCCAAAAACCAGACTACATGCACATTGAGATTAATTTTTGTGCTACCAAGCCTCTTATACTTTTTAGAAAAGTTTACTTGTAGCCAAAGTTTTTTTTTTACATGGTCTCTGCTGGAGTGTTGCCTGTCGCATAAAGAATATCTCCTGAGGCGTTTTACATCACTTTTGGATAGTTCTGGTATTTGTGCTTATTACATATTTAATACTCTACAGCAATCTATACTTACAGAGGCCCTGAGGTGATGTGGCACTTTCTGATGGCTGCCGATATGATACTTGTAACATTATTGTAACAAACTACTAACATTTAAGGTGGGTAGCTGCGTCAGCATGCGTAGGCTGCAAAGGAACAAGTAATAGGTTTATTCCATGCTGAAAAAAAGAAGAAGAAAGAGAACACAACGTTTCGGCCGTGGAGCCTTCTTCAGGTGTGAGAGAGACAGGGCAGTAGGCAAAGGTAAAGTGGCTGGGGAACAAAGGTTGGGAGGGAGGAGGAGTGAGAGGCGGGAGCAGGGGACAGAAAGAGAGGCCAATCAAGAGGTGTGAAGTCACAATGGGTGCAGAGAGGTGTGAAATGAAACGTCCAATGAATGGAGAAAATTTAAAAGAACAGTAATCTGTCGTTAAGGGAAGGGAGAATGTGTGATCCTAACTACAGAATAATTTTCGTTTCGGTGGTCTTTCTGATGTATGAGTTCGGAAAACCGTCTTTGAGAACACAGACGGAGAGATTAGTGTGGTCGTGGCCGTCAGAGGTGAAATGAGAAACAATGGGCTTGGAGAGATCTTTAATCTTCACAGCCCTGACGTGTTCTCTGAAGCGGTCTCCGAGTCTCCTTCCTGTTTCTCCAATGTAGATGGCTGGGCATTTACTGCAAGAGATACAGTAAATAAGGTTGCTGGAGGTACAAGATGCTGTCTGGGTGATCCGGAATTGTCCTGAGGGGCCTTGAATGAGTGTGGTAGTGGCTGTGTACTTGCAGGTGAT